AAATGTGTTTTGATCATTTTGGTTTTGTGAACACCCTCTTGGCTCAGAGGAATAAGATCAATGAGTTGACTTTAACTACGTATGCCACTTTTTTTAATATAAATTCCACCAAGTAATGAGCTGAAGTTATGCTATAAAGCAGGGGTGTCAAACTTATTTTATAATGCCACAAGAGCGCTACGAGTTGTAATTAACGTAGACATTCCGTATTTAACTTCAACTAAATATTAAATGTGATGCTCCTCAGATCAKTGCAATGACTGAACACTGCAAACAAACAATAACTGAGCTCAACGTATATTTCCTGTATACAAACATTGTTTGAACATGTCCTCTTAAACTCTGCAAAGTACTATGTGTACGACTGACTAAATACTGCTAGAAATACTAATAACAGTAAAAGTAAGAGAGTTTTACTCAATGTTGAGTCGTGGTGAGTAGCTGCCATGTTGAATTCTGAGCTCTCCCACTTTCTGACAGGTAATTTCCATGCATAACCAACATGCATTGTGGGAGATGTAGTTTATGGTCAGTGCTGGCTRTAAAACAMCTTATCTTGAGACRTCATTTCAGGGCTATTCAACTTAACGGATCATGCTTTGAGTGCTATGCACTTTGATAAAGRTAAAGATGTACTAGAAAACAAATCWAAAATGGTAAAACTGGCAAATTCTGACAATTTTATTTACTAAATAATAGTACTTCCACTAATATTTTCTTATTGGCACTTTTGCACATATAACATTAGGCCTCATGGTTCAGAAGATTGATTTTTCATATTTTAGTTCTAATATTGTTTGTTTAAAACTACTTACTCTGCATCAGAACAACCCTAAATATACCAAACCCTCACAATGACAGAACGGAAAGGAGTGCATGTGTTCAGTTTATATAAAGTGAAATTACTGTATGTGGCAACAACACTGAGTCAGKGCTATTTTGACTGGATGAATGTGAAACCTAATAAAGATATTCTTTCTAGAACCTAGATAAGGTTAAAAGACACTTTATAAATTTGGACCATTTAAAACATTGATTCGTTCAGGTTTGAGTGAAAAATACATCATTACCACTTTAGATATGTACAGACATATTTCCCTTGTCTTCCTTACAGAAATGGACCTCAGTCATGTGCTTGATGCTGTGTAATTTCAGGGATTATTAGAAATKCATCACTTTTCAACTCTCGAAATGAGACCCCCACCCTTGATCTCCTCCATCAGGCTGTGAATATGATAAAGTGGCAAAATGTAATTCATTTATTCAGGWACTGTGTGCTGTGGATTTATGTGATTATTAATGAGCAAGCTTTCATTTTTTAGTAGGAATCTTTAATAGGTACCATTTAATGAATGAAACAGCATGTGGTAAGCCACTCACTTTGAAAGTGCCAATGATTACTTTAGAAGGAACAGGAYATCTTTTCAAGTCAAATGACTTTTATTCTGAAACAAATGTGTGTAGGTAGGAGAAAAAATTGAGATAAGAAAAGTACTGAAACAGTTTGACAATTTAGTCACTTCTGTGTCTGCGTTTGTGTACCACAGGCTGGTTTTGCACCAGAAAAGCCGCTGTGGATAAAGTGGATCAGGTGCAAAATACACAAAT